GTGAAGGCCAACTTGTACTTGAAATGCATGACTGACATTTTCCAGATAGCACTGCTTGTCCTGTTCACTGACAAAGGTGACGTTTGGATCCTAAATAAGGAAAAAAAATATTAAATGAGAACGGGCTTCCGATACGAGGAACAATATGTGTTCAATACAAATGCACAGAGAGGCCAGGGATTCGGTGGAAAGTGGTTTTTACTTAAAGTGACGAGCAACACTTAGAAAGGCAGAAATTGCTTTAGAAAGGATAAAAGCAATTGCAACTAGTGCGCGAAATTAAAAAAACGACGAGCGTAGCATAAGTAAATGCGATGAAATGACAAAAAATCAAAACCGTGTGGCAAACATAAGACTACTGTTCTACCTGGAAATTTGCTTTTAAGATGTTCCCGAGAGAGACATTTTTGAATCCGATACTCTGACGAATATCATCGTAGTTCGGAATATTGATGCCAGCCGGCAATCCAGAGACACCAAATGACATAATGTCTAAACTCGTAAAATCGGGCTCTAAAAAGGCATCCGTCTCATAGCTAGGAGGCCAGGGTAAGAGGGCCAGAAATAACGAAGCGCATTTAACTAGATTTTGACATTTCGCTGACACGTTCTTGTCGACAACAGCGACAAAAGTTTCGAACTCTCCCCGTACGCCATATGGGTCCCGGTAGGTTTCGATAAAACCGATATAACTTTCTACAGTCGGTTTTTCGTCAGCTACCCAGTGCTTTGATCCAGCTTTGTGCGCTTCAATAGAGCCCGTTTGAAAACTACGCTGATATTCACTCCACATTTTCCTTTGCTCATCATTAAGGGCAGCTGCTTTAATCACATCAATGCCGGAGACAATTAACTGCATAAGTTCTTTATAGTCGCCATATTTTATTTTTAGTGTTGATGATTGTGATAAGCCGGCGTTTTCAATTTCCTCCTCTCCGGAATCAGCCGAGGCAACAAGCAATTCGTAATTGTCCCGACCATTGGCGTCCTTATCAAACTTTTTCATCAAACGAGTGTTGTAAGCTTCAATTCGTCTTGAATCTAGGAAAGTCTGGACAAGTTCAGCATCTGACCGAGTGCAGTTTGCTGAGTAGTACGTTGTCATGCCTTCTTGAGGAAACGACAACCGCAGACACCCAGGATGAGTTGAATAGATACTATCAATCACACGCTTAAAAATTTCTCTGACCAACTCAGAAGACTTGTAAGCATCCGTCAAATTGACGATGTTGGTAAAAGCTTCACGATTAACAGCAGGAATGAATTTTGTGTTGCCAAAGGACAAGTAATTTCCTAAATTACCGTAAATCGACGCGAAATAGGCAACAAAAGCATCAATATCTTCAGCTCGCACGCCATTTGATTTGGCAATATCACGAATATCCGAAGCATCCTGCAGTTGGAAAATGTTATGCGACAGCAAGAATATCCCAGCGGATTCAGGAGACAATTGAATCAGATCGATTAATGCTCCAATCCAAGCCACTTCGTCAATAGCATTTACGTATTGTTTCTCGTTTTTCGAAAGCAATTTAAACGATTCAACATCCAAGGGAAGCACGTCGGGAACCACTAACACACTGTCCTCCATCTCAGGTTGTCCGTTTAGTCCTTCGCGCAAAAGATATCTGTAAAATATCAAATGAGTGCATTAAATTTACAGGTCATTAACTGATGCTTTCAAACAAAATTTATGGTAAAATGCATTTGCATGATAAATAATACCAAATTAACTTGATTTTAATTGGTTTAAAATTGATTTAAAAGTCTAAACACTTCAGGCTGTTCTTCCTTCTTTCTTACGTATTCTGGATGAGAAAAGCGGACGAACGCAATGAATGTATAAATAAATTGTATGCAGTTTCAACTCGCACTATTTCAAATATTGGAACACTTTATGTCAAGAATTGCAAAGTTATCTCAGCCAGTAGAATCCTTTTTCACTTTCCAGGCTTCTTGGATGCTGCGTGCCGTGAAAAAAATAAAAAGCGAATAGGCGCGCAAACTGTAACCCGCCGCAAACCAGTAAGTCGGATAATTTGCTCCAGAACGCGGAAATTATGTTGGTTAATTCTACTGTTAAGAGATGTTTACCACATCTAGATACAGTCATCAAAATCATTTCCGTTTATAATCTGTCTGCTTGATAGTTTTATTCATTTAACTGAGACAAAAAGGGGATGTCCACGATTGTATAGTGCGGCCAATGTCAACGCACTATAGTTGCTGATCAGCTCGGATTGGCGTAGGCCAGATTACATGCATGCAATGACGGACTGAATAAGCGGCCTTCAGTTCTATCCTTTACTCCCATCTCATATAGACTTGCACTGCCACCTTCACCCAAGGATATTTTACGATCGTAGGTAACTGGTGTAGATTCTTTATTTCATCATACAACTAATTGCACCTGGCCTCGCATTTGAAAGTTTGCTAAATGGCCTACTAAGTCTTTATGCATTTCCTCCCCTTCTCCGGTTCGATTTTATCTGAAATACGTCGATATCATGGAGCCTGACCGCGTGCTTCTGGTTGTGGGATAAATGCAATTCTCAGAATGTGTACCCGACATGGCTCCCAAAAAGTTGTTCTTTTGTTAAATTCAACTTATGTGCTGCTCGATTACTCCTGCTACTTCAAATATTTTCCAATTTTCATAAAACCACTGAGTCCAAGCATTTCGTAGTTTTGTACTGAGCACCTATTCTAACACTTATTCTTGGGTCCTCAAGATTGTTCATTATTTCTTGAAAGGACTGTTCATTTTACTTATTCATCATATCCAGTTTATTTATTTTATTTTGAAAATATGATTCTTTTTTCTGTTAAACTCTGGCTTATCTCATAGACAGCTTTACGAAGACAACGGTTTGATCCTTACCGGATTCAAAGCGCACTTCCAAAAAAAACAATAACTGAAACCCTTCCTTCGCGTGAGACTGTTGTTAGCGCCCACCATTTATATGGAGATGCAAATCGTTAGGCCACAATGCTGCACTTTCTATGTGATAGAAGATATATGTCAAAACTATTACGAAAAGAACGATTGGCCTTTTAGGCAAAACTAGTCAAGGGCATACCTAACAGCACAAAAAGGTTATTTCCTACCTAAATAAAACAAAACGCAGTCGAGATCACTCTCCTTGTCTGAATGATAACCAGGGAAACAAGTTTAACGACAACTGAGATAAGGTGAGCCTCTTGTCTATCTTCTTTATGTCCGTGTGTACCGACGAGCCGTCTTTTAACGGGGACGTACAGCGATATACTGTCCTAGCGGCGGATACAATTAGCACGGTATCGTTCGCAACAGACACAGTAAGAAAAGCTCTGTGACAACTTCAGCTCTCTAAATCACCTGGTCCAGATGGCTTATCAGCGAAACTTTTGAATGAGCTCGCAGAACAACTGGCCTCCCCACTTTCCAAGATCTTCGAAAG